AAATATTATTTAAAGCTTTTTAATTCATAAAAAAAAAAAATAAAATAAAAAAATAAAAAAAATAGACTCGTTATTAAATAGTTATAGATATTTAAAGTTACAAAAGATAAACAGATTAGTAAACTAACACATTGCAGTGTATTCTTACACCAATGTCTCATATTATTTAAATAATATCAAATATATATATATATATATATATCTATATTGATATTAATAAAATGATAAGTGTTTAAAACATAATAAAGTACAATATTAAATGTTATTTTATATAGGTAAAAAAATATGTATAATCAATTATTATATTTATTCACTTTGATAAAATATTTGCAATATAATTTTTAAAATTATGTCTTATTAACTATTAACAGTTATATTTTTAAACGATGATTTCATATATTTCTTTATGCCTTTTATTATTTTTTTTTTTTTTTGACAATTCAGTTGTATTATCGTCGATTTTCGTTCACACCAGGTGGCTTTAAAATAACAAACTTTAGGATTTACAATGTTATCGGATTCCAGTAATAAATTATCTCACTGGTTGCTATGACGGGAAAAAGATTTCAAGTTTTCTAATTCGTCACAAATATAAGTATACGTATATTGGGTTATTAAAGACATTTAGGTCGACAGTACTCTAAGATTCGTTGGTGGCAAAGATATATCAAAGTTGTGTCTGCGGTTGTCGGCGATACCGGAGCGAAATGAGTTTCTGATATAAAATGTGGACCTGAAAATTTCTGTGTTGGGGAAATCTCACACTCGATGTAACTGCTAGTGCAGCTTATAACATTGGTTATCGTAGGACGATAGGAGAGATTTCAATGGACTCAAAATTATTCGATTTAGTAAATTTTAAAATCCAACACAAATGATCGAAAATAACAATATATAAATTGTTTTGCATTACATATCCTACATATACAAACATAAAAATGTATCAAATTTAATTATTATTGATTTTTTGTATACATTATAAAAATATGTACAGAATTTGTTGATATATTACTAGAGTTTCAATCCATGTCTTGAGTGCACCATGTTGACTGTTTGCTAATCGAATTTTCGGTGTTACCTAAGCAAACGAACAATGAGTGGCGTATACTATATACATGCTTTTGATATAAAAATAATGTATACTAAAATATGTGAAGTATAAAGTGTATATTACTTTCTATAGAAGTCAAGGTTTTAAAAAGTGAATTCAAAACGTTAAGACAGTTTGTTTCAGTATTACACCAAATGACCGATTGCTGGTTTTTTGAAAATGTATCAATCTTGATTTTTCAAATTTTACACCAAAAACAAGGACAATTCAACCATCTATGCTTGTAGCTTGAACAAATTCATTATATGGATATATTTAATATATGATAAACGATATCAAAAACATATTACTAATTTAATAATTTAATTATATTCCGTCTATTCTAATTTAAAACCCGTTTAATAGATAGTTGTTGAGCTTTAGAGTTACTTTTTATATGATCATTTCTGAAAAAATATTCTTATTATACAAGACGTTTACATAATAATTGGTAAAATTAATATTATTCGTTATATACATAAAACCGTTTTCAATATAAAATTATTCTCCTTAAATTGTTTAACTCTACTATAACTATTTTATTGCTATTTTAACTAGATACAGTATTTGGTAGTGGTGGTAAATTAACCTAAATGTCTGCATCTGCATAATCAGATGTCTCAGTGGCTCACGCACATTAATCGTTTTCAGTGTTTATTTTATATAAAATTTTTATTATTACAAATTTACTATTGAATCGTCCACATATTATAATAATGCCAAATAAAAATCCAATATTTGAAATTTAATTATCTCAATAAGTATTATATATTATAGAAGAATGGTTTTGTTTTTTTTTTTGTGGTGTTCATTTACATTATTCATAAAGACTTTCTAAAAATAAATTAATTAAATTTAAGTTATTTATGGCATAACTATATTGACATTGTTCTATTGCATGTCATTTTTAACTTATAATAAAGTGATATTTTACATTTAATAAATATAAAATATAATACAAATATATACGATTAATCAGCTAGTAATAGTAGGTATAATGTATATGAAATATATTTATAGATATATATATTATTTTTATATAAATTAATTTTTTTTTTATAAAATATTAGTTATACTTAACGCGATACTTTCAAAACTATACATTTTTAAGCAATATAACTGTATTATAAAATATCCTCTAAAATCTCTTTAGAATTATAAGTTAACCATTTTCGCTTAGAATAACTATACAACAATTTAACCCATCAATTACAATTATTACCTACTCAATGACGACGAACAGTTGACACCAATGACCTTCTATACAAGAAGGTGTATCCTAGTTTTATTTATTTTTTTATTCCTTCCTATTACTCATAATATGTAATAATATTACGGTAACACGGCGACTTATATAGGCAATATAGCTACATTCCCGTCGTGATTCAATTTCCCGATATATCAAAATGTTTGAATATTAAAATAATATAATATATACATTGTAAATCATCAAAGTACGAAAATGTATTTTTTTTTTTTCTAAATATGTTTTCATTATTTTTAGAAATAATAAATTAAATAAATTAACTTTGGAATTATAATGTCTAATCCGAGAAGTATGAGTATTTTTTTAAAGCATTTAAAGTTTTTTTGTCAAAAATAATCTGATAAATTTTATAATAAGGTTTTTTGATCAAATACAATTTTATAAGAATTCGTTATAAATATTATCTATTGAAGAAATATGTTAGAGGAAATAGGATTATTACAATATGCATTATCATTTTCATTTTCAAACAAATTAAATGGTAAGAGTAGACTTTTAGATTAGCGAGTCACATCACTCCAGATTTAATTCCTGTATTCTTTTTTTTTGTAATGTTGGTCCATTAAATCTCTAATTATCGAAATCTTAACTTAACTATGTAGATTCAATTGCTTATAGCTGTTGTCTATTGATATGTTAGATATAATTGAGATAGAATGAATAAATAAAATAAGTTTATGTTTAACTGTACATAATGGATGTTCTTAAAAATTTAAAAGTTTAGCTAAATGCTGAATGTATTACTATTCTTCAAATTCATATTATATTACTTTATGTTGAACTTATTGTGATAATTTAAATAACTAATATAATATATAGTTATTAGTTAAATTGTATTTACGTATATTATATAAAATATAAAAGCAAAGAAAAATTAGACCAAATACTAATTATTATGTTACACGTTACGTATTCAAGCATTGGTTATTATTCAATATTATCATCCAATGTTAACAGACATATTTAGATATATAATATATTATAATAGAGATATATAATATAAAAATAATCAAAATACAGATAAAATATGCTTGTTTGAATTAATTTATTGAATAACTTGATTATTATGCAATTTTAAGTTACTATTATATTATCAATTTATGACATTTGGACACCAACTAACCAAATGTATTTATTATAATATTGTTGCCTTAATTTTAGGTAATAGAAAAATTAATTAAGATGTACATATTGCATTTTTTCTTTACTAAAATTAGCGTACGCCAGTTATCGTTACGATTAGTGTAACGTTTATTTGTCGTCCATAATGATAAACATAAAACCCAACTATGCACTTAAGTACCGAGTCCAAACCCCTTAAATTCATTTCACTATCACTTGCAGGTTAGAAAATTGACATGGATTATCTGGGTCTTTATTTTATTTTCTAATGATCATCATTTTGTTTAATGCGGTAATTCTTTTTTTTTTTTTTTTTAATCGTAAATTATTTATTTCTACCAGAAAAGTAATAGAAATATTTTTGTTTTGAAAGTGTATTGTTAAATAAATTTATTTTAAAATAATTAAAATTATATATTTTACTATAATATTCAATAAACTAATATTTTTTTTTTAAATATTATGATTAAATTACAAATGGTGTCATAATTTGTTATAAACAGTTAATGTAAGTTATTTAAATAAATAAATAAATAAAAATTTGATTCGTCAAGATGTTTTATCAATGGGTGGTTTCTTTCATCAAATATATGTTAACCTTATTCAATTTTACTTTTAACATATGATATTATTTTTTAAATGATACAAATTATTTATTTTATGTAAAAATCAAAAATGATTTTTTTCTGTTTAATATATTATAAAAAAAATACATATAACATTAAAGTTTTATTAAATTTGTGTAAAATCTACAGAAGTATTAGTCTTAGTTAAAAACTGAAAATCAAATGCACGTAACTTGATACATAATGACTTCCAGGTATTTAAGAGTTCGTGGTAAGAATTATTATGTTACTACATAACTTTGCTTACTCATTGGTTTAAGAGCTATAATTGAGAAATTGTCTAAACTTTCCCAAAATAGCAGACATTTTAATATATATGATATATTAGATTGAACATGCATTAATTAATCATAAAAAAATAATTTTAATTCAATACATTTTATTTAAAATCTTAGTATTATAAATCTAATCATCTTCAAAGACTAATATAATATATACATTTAGATATAAAATAATATTGTTTATTTTAATTTAAATTCGTAATATTGTTAAATATAAACAAATATTCTTGTCTGTATTGATTATGAAAGAATTAATATTTCAATAAAAATAATACCATTATTTAATGGTTTTGAAATTTAACGATTATTTTTATTAAAGATATCATAAATTTAGCTGATAATAACAATTATAATATAGTTAAACACAAAATAAAATACATTTTAATCTATTTAGTTTTTCCTATTTGAAATAATTAAAAAAATAACTTAGAACGTATTCGTATTGAAACGAAGCAAGGCAAGTAAGCTACTTTAATTTCGTTATGCATATATGTAATTTTAACGACTTTAGTGTGATGCCGAACCGTACCGACACTATACGACGAGCGCCCGGCCGGCTTTTGGCGGCATTTATCGCGAACGTCAGTAAAAGCGACGTCAGTGCGCATCCGGGATATTATCCGTACGCCTCGTGTGCTGCGTGAATTTAAAAAGTTGCCGTTTGTTTGTTATTACGTTTGACACTAAATCTAAGCGACAAAAAAAAAAAAAAAAAAATAAATACTTGTTATTAAATCCGAATAATTAACGATCGCGATAAAATTTATTTTCATCCGTATGGTTCGTTTAGGAAAGTTGTACATATATATATAGTTATAAAGATAATATAAATTTATATATATATATGTGTATGTGTGTATGTGTGTGTTAATATATATATATTATAGGTTTTATGCATTATAAATACCTTTAAAAGTGTACACGATGTACGAAAAATCGCAAATAGTGCTACTAGAGGATTAATACAGTTACAGATACGAGGTGTTAAAAGTGAGTGCAATAATAAAAATCTTATAATTTATGTAATAAAACATGAAGCAATAAATTGAAATATTATGTTGAATATACAAGTATAATTAGTAATGTAGGTATGTGTTGACAATGACTCAATGTCTTCACACATATACGCAACTAGACCTTAATTATTGGGAGTGATGAAATAATGTATAATTTGCTGGTTACTTAAACTCAATTTAATAATTAAATTAACCATTCATGAATATACCATGGAATTTTAAAGAAAAAAAAATGTTGTCACTTTTTACTAGTTAGCTTGTTAAACAATTTAAGGCTGAGAATCAAAAAAATCAAAATGTTAAATTGAACGAGTTTTTTTTAATTTTTAAAATTATATCTGCCTTAATAAGTTTAAATTCATTCCAAGGAATCACTAATCTATTAATTAGCTTATACTCGCATTAGTTATTTTTCCTAACATAAATTTCATGGATGTTTAATTGTATTTTTGTTATAAAAAAGTAAAGATTAAATAATTGTAAATTGTATTTATAAGTTTAAAAATATACTTTATATTATACATACTAAATTTAAACCGTCGAAAGATTCCATGCACTATTTTTAAATTCCAACTGGATCAAAAAATATACTCGTATTTAAACAAAATAAATGTGTATATAAAATAATATTTTCACCCGGATCACTATTGTAGACTTTTTAAAATTAATACTATTAAATAAGTAAGTTCGACGACTTAAGATAAATTTATTTTGTGGTCCATAATAAAATGACCTAAATAGTTTATAACTTCTATCAGTTGTTCATATCATTAGGTCACCTCGTTTTCTGTATTCTTGTTTCTGTTAATATTATTTTTACTATGGTATATTTTTGTTATCGTGTATATTATTATATTTTTATCTGATTTTCTTATAATGTTTTATCATAAACATAAATACTAAATAATCTGTTAAAAAAATATATTATTATTTTTAAACTAAGTTAAATTACATTTAACGTAGAATGAAACTTATACTTATCTGAATCAACATATTAAGTGAAAAATATTAGTTATCTTACTTAGCCTCGTCAAAATTATAGCGAATTGCAAAAACTGTATAAAATATTCTATTTAATACATTTTATCATACTGTGTACAAAATATAATTTTGCTGCACAAATATTTATGTCTATTGTTATATAAATATCAATCTTTTATCAGTACTCGTTATATTATCACGTTTTGTATTTTTTTGAATTTTTAAAGTTCTTATTAAGTACGTAATGGAGATCTAATTATCATAAACAGTTTATTTTTCTTATAAAATGTTGAACAACAAAAAAAAAAAAAACTTGCTCAAAATCGATTCTTTTTTTTTCATTTTATAATATCTTAAAACTGAAGTGATGAAACATTTTCAAATCTCCAAAAACTCACTTCCTTCCTTTATTTAAAATTGTGTTGTCAAGCATTGATATAAATATAAATTTAAAAATAACTTTGATTATAAAGAAATATTTTTCCATCTTATATTTATTTGAGCAAGGTATAAATACTGAGTGTTTACATACTTATAATACTTTGCTTGTTTAAGTGAAGAAAATAGAATATATTTTTATTTATACATATATATAATTTAAAATACAATATAAACTATATTATTCCATTCGAAAATGATACTGAGCAGAAAACAGTTAAGTTAGGTATGCTAGCTTAAACATCTTCATTCTATAAACTTATTTGTGGATTTTTACAGAAATTTTAAGAGATAAACTAAGAAAGAGAAATGAACCTCTTCAAACTTAAAAGTACAAAATATGTTATTACATTTGAGAAAAACAGATAGGTATTCTAAAAATTCTGGAAAAAAAAATTACAAAATATTGTACACAAAACAAGTCAAATAAATAATAGAATACAAATATTATTTTACAGCGAGTAATTGATTTTTGCTATTGTACTTAGATTCTAAATTAGTACTGATAACTATATCACAAAAAAAAATTTTGATTTTAATATAATTGTTGAATTATTGTTGTACGTGTTGTAAATTTAAACTAATTTTTGTAAAACATGCATGATTTATAAATAATAATATATTTACTGTATAAGTATACATGTATAGAGTTGATTTTAAAATAATTTATTTTATATTTTAACCAATAATCAATAAATTATCAGAAAAATTGTCGATATTATTAAACAATAATTATTTAAAATAATTTTAAAATGATAAGTTTATTGCAATTATTCATATTCTTTACTTCGAAACCAGACAATTTATGATATTTTTTTTTATAAAAATTCATTTTTCATACTTAATTATTTCATAAATGAAAAGTTTTATATTATTTCAGATATAACTGTTAACTTAATTCAATGTAGTTATTGTGTTCTATTAAAATATTAAAATTAATTTATACTTAATAAACTTCAAAATTTAATAACATAATAACTAATATTGATTTTAAAGTATGATTCTTAGCAATATAACATTATTTGCCTCGGAAGAAGTTACTCAGGCAGCTGAGGTGTGTTATTATTTAATACTTAAAACTTAAACTCGATGATAAAATTGTGTAATTGAATATGTTTTTTAAGCAGAGCTCAAAAAAAAAAAAAAAATATAGCAAGTTTTATTTTAATTTAACAGAAATATCAACTATGTATTCCAAATGTGTGTTTATTTTAAAATATTATAAAAAGTGTTCACTCACCTATAAAATATGGTTTACTATATTTTAATTTTAATTATAATAGAATTTAAATAATTATTGTTTTACAAACTTTTAGATGCTCAACATTATGTTGAAATATTCCCTTTTTCATAAGATTAAATAACAAGAATTTAAATGTTAAACAATATTATACATTTGTTTAGTTTATAATAATAAAATTATTTTATTTTCAAAGGTTATTTTTGTTGGAGTAACAATACAACTAATAAATCAATTTTATCAATTATATTTTTATTTTTATTAAACAATACCATGTCTTATTTATGCACAATTTAAAAATAATAGCTGTTCGCTAAGCAACAAATATGATCTGTGTTAAATTCTTAATCTATATATGATTATAAAAGTTATAGGTACATGTCTTTAAGTACTCCTTTAAACAAAATATTTTATAGTAAAAATCACACTATAGATAAAATTAGTACATTTATTTTTTCACTAATTATCTGGTTTATTGATAAATTGAGTAAGAATTCGCACTTATTATTGTTAATAATTTACATCATATTTTTCAATGAATATTCGATTATCATTATAATAAAATACTTTTATTTTTAATTTTTTTTTTTTAAACAATTAAATACGTAATACAAAATATTTATTATTGTTATATATTTATTTTTTTAACTACATATACGGTAAAACACTACAAACTCTTATACTTATAACTTAGAATTGGTACTAGTACATATAACATAATATACATGATAGTTTTAGAATTTTAAGTATATTTAAAGACTATTCTATATTTATAATACAATGAAAAAAAAAAAAAAATAATAGAAAAGTCACATTACTTTTTTCATAAGTAGGTAACTATTTAAAATTTTAATTTTATAACTTAGATAAAAACATTTATACAATTTTATTCTAAAATTAATTTTCAATTCTTATAATTTAGTTATTATTTGAAAAAAAAAACAATGGTGACATTTTGAAACATTCAACTTATACTTGAACTATGTTTATTCATACCTATATAATATTTTAAATTATTAATAGGAAGTTAAGTTTTTTTTTTTATTGCTCGTGAAAATAATTAATGTTTGATTAAAAGGTTTAAAATTTTAGTATACATTTTCTTGTCACTGTAATTATTATAATAATATAAAAATATAAAAAAAAATAATATACACAAATATAATGGTTATATAAACTATTTATTTTTATTAACGTTTCATACATAAATTTAATAAAATTTGATTAGAATTTATACGATAAACTATTGACATAAATTATTTAGTTGATAATCTAAAGAATTAAATCTATAGAACTTAAAATGTATTACTATTACGTGTATTGTTATTTATTTTATACAGATTAATTTCCAATATTTTTAATATACCAATTTCAAAAAAAAACATATCACAACTATTCTATAGTACATAGACTTACTAGTAATATAAATACACTTGAACATCGATAACCTGCATTAAAAGTTCCTCAGAAGTGTTTGAATAATCAAACAATAATTGAAAATGTACAGTTTACCTGAATTTAAATGTTTTATATAATTAAAAATAAAACTAATGTACTGTATTTATAACGTATACGTATATTGAACAACTTAATAATATTCAAATCGGTTATGGTAAAAAAAATGGTTTACTTAGATCATAAATAGAGGTTGACAGATAGTCTTCATCCAGAATTGTTTTTTTTTATGCATTGATTTATAAATGAATTTAAATTAAACACATCAATATTACAGTGACCTACTCAATAACGAGATAAACTTGAAATCTAATATAAAACAAAGCAATTTTACTGTTGTTTTTTTTTCATTTTAGAATCAACCTTTTTTTTCTATAAATTGTTAACCAGTATGTTCTATTTTTCTTGAAAATTGTCTAGCTTCTAAATCGAAATACGAACAAGAAGTTTCTGTATTCTTTAACTTAATATACTAAGAATATAAATCCTTAAGATAAATTATAAAAATAATGTACTATCTATAACCTATAGAAATAATTACAGTCAATATTTACAAATTATAAATAGCCTATATTAGTAAATATTCATTGATATAATTTTCTAATCATCATAAACCTCATACATATAAACCTAATCTTATCAGTTAAATAATTATGTTTCATAATCCAAAATAACCATATTTTAAGTATTATTTATACATAAATCAACAATTAAAAAAAAAAAAAAAAAATAATAATAATTATTATTTTCTTAAAAATATATTGAGAAAGGGTGATTAACATTAGAAAAAAAAAATAATCTTCACAAGACATTATTAATGTGTTATCAAAAATATAATTATGGTATTTAACTATAAATTT